AACTTTCAGAAGGCTTGCAGGTGAACCATATGGCGTGGAGCAAAATGACCCATGGATCAACCCTCCCCACGTGACTGTTGCATTTATTCAACAGAAGCTGCAGAGGACAGTGGATCTAAAGCACAGAGAACAACATGGCAGGTAGATCGGATGAGAAGATAAAACATTTAAAAGGACAGATGCAATTCAGTCTGAAAAAAAAAAAAGATCAAGAGATATAATCGTTTTTCAAAAAGTACAAAAAAACAAGATGACAGCAGTGTGGTTCATCCGTAGGGCATGTCTTTAGCTTTGTTGGCCTAAACGTCGGCAGTGAAGAGCTGTCAGAGCAGAGACACCTGGCACCGCAGCCCTCTCGAATACAAAGATACGCCGCAAATCATCTCACCGAGACGCTGTATAATGAGGCTTTTCTATAACACTGCCTGATTTACAGCAGCTCAGTTGGTTTTGGTGCACCAAACCTTTAGCAACAACTGAGATTTAAAGCAGTACGTGTGACAGATATGTTTATAAATACACATAAATGCTAGTGCAGTGTGTAAAGTAACCTTGTTTGAGTTCTGATCTCATTAAAAACTGAAATAGCAAACTTCATAACTGTTTGGTAATACTCCAGGAAGCAAACACCTCTAAACCATAAATGCTCTGTGAAGCTTTTCTGGTGGGGCATCCCCCCACCTGCTTCTCTCCATGGAGATGCTATTGTTATGTCTAGAAAATCCACAGAATGGCATTAAACATATTTATCTCCATGGAGACGAGCATCAGGGCAAGTTACAGGTCAGATCTGTAGAAAGGAGATTCTGTTCACAGTACGAATGCATGTTTTCCAGGCATCTCTTCAAGCAATAAAAAGCATGATAGATGAGGAAGTTTAATGCCTTACTGTAGAACATTCCAGACAAAGCAACATAAGCTTCATGAAAGCAAGTAAGAGGCTGATCCTTTAGCAAAAAAGTTACATTATGCACCTAATGATATAAAACACCAATGATGAATGCCTACTTATCCAACTTTTGAGTATAACACCGTATATTACTGATGCATTTAGTGAGTGTGCTTTCATTTAGTACAGAGAGTTGAACCAATAAATCTTCTGGACAAATTCAAGCAGAACTTTTGTCCAAAAGGATTTGTCACAGAATCTAGCTTTACCTTTATGAATCAGTGAATAAAATGATCCTGTACCATTGATTTTGTGTGTGGTCTGCTGCTTGTGTGAAACAGAAGAATCCGAGGAGGAGGCAATGGGACAGGAAAAAGATGAAGAGGCTGCAGGAAGAGAGCACAGCCTGATTATAGTGTTTATGGCATCTGGACAGTTGTTTAGCTAAGATGTTATGTGTGCGCTAGTGTGCATGTGTATGTGTGTGTGTGGGGGGGGCCCGAGGGACACACCTGGAGTTAAGCTATTCAGAGTTTAAACCCACGGCCACTGGCACATTTCTCTTGCCTCTCATCCATCCACATCACTCCTCATGACTGCAGGCAACTCGGCCACAGTGCAGTCTATAAACAGGATTACAAAGAGCACAAGGTCCCAGCCCACCCCAAAAAACAACTGGAGTTTCTTAGTACATTACATTCACCAGAACTGCCCAAAATCATTCCAAAATGACAAAAACAACTATCACCTTTTTCTTTATGTGTTTTGGTGTTGATTTATAGCATGGACACTAAGCTTACTGAAATAAATAAAAGATGAATTTAAGCTCACTAAAACATAGTGCTGCTGCCTATTTATAAACGTGTCACAAGTGTTTAAGGTCTTTTAACGCAGTCTAGGACCAAATCCAATCACACCTCCACAGAAGCAGGCCTGATCCAAAGTCCCTCAAAGTGGCTTGGACCCACGTCTGTAGTGAGCTGCATTTCAATCCATCTTCTTTGCTGCTGCACACATGTGGTCAGCTCGCCCTGCATTCAATTGTCCATTTGTTATTTGGCAAAGATCTTTAGATAGGATTTAGTGAGTAGATGGTAGGCACCGTGCTAAATTCATTAGGATACTACAACCCTGTAAAACCACTTTTCCTCATACAAATGCAGGCTATTATTTAATGCAATTTTTTTCCTGTTAAAAGAGGACATTGTGAGGCATAAAATGGTTTATTGCTGGTATATGCCGTCCATTACATTACTTGTATCTGTTCATTGTGCTCATTGTGTTAGATTAGAAGAATGGAAGTAGGATTAAAATAAGTTTTCTTCTTCCCACTCCTTTTTGGCAATTTTATTTTGTTGTGATTATTTTTATTTTTATTATGTTATATGTTCAATTGTATAAGAATGTAAATCTCTACTTGCCCAAAATAAATACATAAATAAAATAAATAATAATTTAAAAATATATATTTCTGTCTCGCGGGAATTTATATAGGCCAATCAGAGAGCTTAGTCTTATAGTGCTTTCCCCGATGCTCATACTCGCTTTACAGTTTTGTTCCTTGTTAATTTATTTCATACTCTATGTTGATAAGCAAATAGCCATAGCTGACTGACGGAAATGAGGATGCTAATCTGCGCCATCGGCCCCTACGACCACCATTTACCGTGCCTAAGCTAGGCTACATGCAAACGGACACACCCTGTAACCAAATGAAAACTTAATTGAAAAGAGCTAACAGAAAAAAAACTTTTGTGGTAATTTTAAACGTGGTTTTATATTTCGGCGTGTTTGAGTAAAAACTTTCCTTCACAGAGAGCCCTGCGTCATCGTGCCTCTAACATCCAATCCGTGGATGGATGCGCGATCGTGCACCTGCCCAGAGCGCGCGGAGACGCACGAGGAAAACCAACGACTCTTTATCCAGCCGCAGCACATGGTCTGAGTAAAGAAACCCGAGAGAGCAAGTTGAAGCGCACAGGTTGGTGGTGTATCGCTCACGGCCACTACAGCCTCTGCTCTCCATTCTCTGCTCTGATGCGCGGAGAAAAGGGTTGGTACAAGGGAGGAATGGCTGGAGGGAGGAATGGCTGAATAACGAGCGGAGAAACACCCACTCCGGACCGACCGAATTGTATCCGGACAAGAGTGAGAAGAAAGAGGAGACAGACGGAGGAGAAGAGAGAGGGGAGCAGGAGCAGCGGCAGAAGCGACGTTTGGTTTGAATTTGAAGATTTAAACTGGGATTAAAAGCACTCGTGGAACTGATGTTTGAACAGGTTTGGAGACGTATTTCATTCATTATTTTTACTATTAAGATAATTAGTGCTCAGATGGGCGCCATGAAACTTTAATTGATTCATTTAGATAATTTTAATCTGTACAAGAGGAGCTTTGAATTTAGGCTACTATTTTTTAAACTAAATAAATATTATGGTTGGGAAATATTATTCTTACTACTCATATGGTAAATACATTTGTTTAGGACTATGTATTTGCCATAGCGTCATCATAAGAAGATTATAAAGGATACAAGCTTGTGAATGTTGTTTTTCATTAGGTAATACGCTCTAAGTTGCCCTCTGGACTGAGTGAACAATGAAATTAGGCAAAGTGCACATATAAGAAATCCAATAGGCCAATGTGCATATAATATGGCACTAATTGGTCTTAAGGGTATCAACAAGAAACGAGCAAAGACTATAGAGTGAGCCCCAACCTACTTTGTCTGGAGTGCTTTGTCTCACTCTAACTTGGGTACTATGCTCTGTTTACTATATTATACTATGTCCTGTATAGTCATTTTTGAATTATAATGATAGGCTGTCAAAAATATTAAATATAATTCTAAGAACTTCAAAAAAAATAAAAATAAAATACTGTTCATTTTCACCTTCTTTCCTTCAGTCCAAGTACCCCCTGGTCAGTGCTCAGGTATCCGCAGAGGTTCCCATACCCCTGTTTGGGAAACATTGGTATAGGCAATACAGACAAACTACACATTTTTATGTAATTTGAGTTTGGATATTGAATGTTATATTGTTCTTAATGTCAAGTGTGATTTATTTGCCCAGTTTGACTTGGGTTAAATATACATTGCTCATTCTACATGGTATGCAACAAGTTTGAGACTGTGATTGTTATATCTGATATCCCTGGAAAACTGATAAAGTGGGCCTGTAGGCTGCTAATGGAGAAGCAGACGTTTTTAGTAAAAGGAGTCAATCTTAAGAGGGTTGAAATGATAAGGAGCAGCCTGGTTTGCCCTAATCTCTGCGCTCTGGTTATGCCCTCTTGTCAGGTCTGTCAATCTCTGTGTCTGTCTCTTGTCCATCCTTCGCAGCTCTTCTGTGAAATTCTGTTCTTCTTCAAAGACAAAGTGGTCCACTGTTTCCCCATTTGTGTAGGCGTGATCCCTAACCGCTGCTCTGTGGTCAGTCTAGACTGTAGGGCTGCTGCTCTGTAATTGTATCAAAGTGGATATTAAACAGAACAACTGACTCCAGATCAGGGCTTATGGGGCTTTCAGGCAACTCACCACTGTCACTAACAACTGGTGCTGTCACTAAAATTTCAAAATTAATTTTGATTGTAAGGAGAAAGCTTGATACCCCAAATCAACTTTACTTACAAAATATAATGTAATTTCCCACACAAAAGTAGTACAGTAGTTTCTTGAATATTACCATGTGGTCTTATAGAACAACGACAGTAAAAATATTCAGGAAATGCCCAATTTTGTTCTAGTTGTTTACTTTACACTACCGATACTTCTTCAAATGATTATCGAATTTCAATATTTTTATTCATGATTTATTCATTCACCATGGTCCTGCACAGCACAACATAGCTCTGGTCCTTGTGTGAGTATCCCAACATAACTAAACCAGTCTGACACTTGAATTGCAGCTGGACTGGGTGCAGATTTTTATTTAGATTGTATTATGTTGCATTGTATATTGTATACAGCCAAATTTTAACCCACCCTTCATTATGTAAACCACTTTCAATTACTTTGTGTACAAACTGTGTTCTACAAATAAACCTTGCCTTCTTTGTTTTCATTGATAATATCTTTCATATGTTCAGGTCTAGACTGCTGCCTGTGAGGATGTTGTCAGTTGGAAGGATCAGATGGTGTTTTTGGGCTCCTCTGCTGCTACAAGCCCTGGTTCCCCTTTCTTCCTCCAATGCACAGGAGCAGGGTGAGTATTTTAAGGAGGAGGTGCTCTTTTGTCCTGCCTCTCCCAAATACCCGGTCATCCGATGTCCTTCCATCTGTTTCTCCACTCTCCTCCTTTGCACAGCCTCGAGCCTCACCTCTGTGACCTTCTCCATATCCACTGCCCTTCTCTCATTCCTCACCTGAGCCTTGTTTCCAAATTTCTTCTCTCTGTTGGATATCCTACTCTTGTCCAATCAGATCATTTCATACTTTGGATCATATTTTGGTGCCTTTTCGCCCGGCAGCATACCAGCTCTCTCAGTCCTCTGCCGATGCTGCCACGCTTCAGAGGAGTTTTAATAAATGCGTTGTACAGACGTGCTTCAAGCTGGGATGATTTGCAGGGCAATGTGCCGCACAATATATATCGCCTCACTTCGGCAAACCTCATTTAATCAAACTGGGCCCCTCCTAAAGGTCTGCTGCTGTTTTCAGGTTTCTGAAGGGGTCTGAGTGACTGTAATAAATTTAACTTTAACTTTGGATATTAGGATTTTTGCTTAGATTTTTTGATGAGAATATATTATGCAGGAAGGGGCTAATTTCATTAAGGACATTGGTAATCATATTTTGTGAGAGGAAAAACAATAGAAACTATTCGAAGTTCTATGTGGCACCAGTTAAACTGGAGAGGATTAGAGTTTTTGAGTGGAATTATGCTTCATTGTGTTCGTTTGTTGATATAAACTTGGCTAATCTTTGTAAATTATAGGAACACTATAACACGCCCACTATAACAGCGCACTCAGCCACACTGGTCTGTAAATGCTGAATGAAATGCAAAGGGTTCATTGAGGCAACTGTAGAGCTTATCTTAAAGGTGCACTACGCAACTTTTCTGGTGGAGGGCCCACCGTACTTGTTCTCATGGAAATGCTATTGCTTTGTCTAGTTCCACCGTATAGATTAAACCTAACTCTATCTCGAATGAGACAGCACTATGCTACATTACCATTCAGATCTGTGGAGAGTCACCTCTATTTACAGAAGAAATTAATTGTATTTTTGAACAGCAGGAACACCTGTAATTAATAAATGCTAGATGGATTTGTTTAATGTCATACCATTGAACATTCTAGGCCGAACAATAACATCTCCATGGAGACAAGCAGGTGACAAACCCTCCGGCAGAAAGGTTGTGCAGTGCATATTTAAAGATTTGAATTGTCCATATTTAAAGGTGTACTACGTAACATTTATGGGGTCGTGTCACCTCTTCATGGACGTTTTATTGCTTTCCTTGGAATGTTCCACATGGTATTCATTTTTTATATCTCAAAAAGGACATGTAGGTGACATCTCAGATGAAGTTACAGGTCACATCTGTGGAGAGGCAATAATAACAGCTGTAATTGAGGAAAGAGCTATAAACTGTGGAACTTTCCAGGCAAAGCAATAACATCTCCATGGAGTCAAACAAGTGGAGAACTCTCCACCATAAAAGTTACATAGTGCACCTTTAATACAGGGCTCTAAGGAAAATAAGGTCTGTACATGTAGACTATATAATGTATTTTTGCCAGTTTGATAGGCATTGTAATTAGTCACCTCAAACTTATGCATTTCAGTTGACAGTTTGGCATTGGCATTATGTCCATTATTGGATTTCACCTCACTTTAAGTTCAATCTCTGTGTTGACTGTTCAACTTTCTCGATAAAAATTAGGCTTTTCATTCAAAAATTAAAAAAAGCTTTTATTTTACTCCTCCACAGTATTTCGTCACAGACTTTTTTCACCCACATTTTACTTGTGTTTCAAGTATTCCTCTCTATTCCAATTTCTTCCAACTCATTTGCAGTTCTATAGGTCATGCTTTTCATATTAGTCAGACAGAAGCTGTAGGTGAGACAAAGGCATAAATCAGTTCCCAGAGTTGAGGAGCAGGAGGAAGGGACCTCACAGACACTTGGGGGTTATGCGCTGTAAAGTCGCCTCAATAAGGGCCATGTGATAGCCATTAATTTAGCTTGCGCTGCCCCTTTAAGCTGCAACATCTGCTCAGAGGGATTGGAGATTACTTTGTGCTCTGCCCATGGAGGATGTTTGTGTACACAACACAACTGCATGCTGATAAGGACCTCCACTAGTGAAAAGTGAGCCAATTCAACAACAGCAAACTTCTCATATAAAGCATCACTGCACATTTCTCACACTAGCTTGCTTTAATTATCAGCCTACCTGTTTCACAGTATCTGTATCTCATATTTTTGGAAAAGGCTGGGCGATATAGTGATTAAAAACCTAATCGTGATCTCATCCCTGTGACGATATTGATTTACTCTTTCTCTGTTTAATGTGTCTTCTCAAGTACAGACTTTCCACCTACTCCTCCTGCTCTTGGTTTGCCACTGTGAGGCTTTGAGTGAGTGACAGCTAGATTCAGCCAATTATAATGAAGTGTGAACTTTCAGAGAGAGTAGATGACTTTACACATGAATCTTGATATAATCAAAATCCTCCCAAATTTTTTTTTGCCATATTGTTCAAATTGCTCACTTGTTTCTTTTTTTAAACAGTGTTAACCAAAGACTATTGTTGAGATGGTTTTGCCTGTAGTAGTCTTCTTAGTGTCAGATGGAGAATTGTATTACAGTGCACTTATTCTTGAGCAGAAGTACTGACTTTTCCCTTTTTCCTTTTGTCCTAACATAGAAAAGTACTGAATAAGAAAATGTAAATTTAGTCTGTGCTCTCAGAGGAGCCAGCCCGACCTGCAGCTTTTGATGCTGTTTTCAAAGCTGTAGTGATTGAGGATAGAAGAAGCATTATTTCTGAGTGTGGACATTTGCCAAAGTTTTAATCAAACTAGTGCAAGTTTTGCAAATAAAGTGGACCTTTATTATTCACAGTTACCTGAGCATTGAGTTCCCACGTTCCCTGAACACGTTAGCAGGGTGCAGAGACGATGCGGTTAATCCTGTGTGAATTAACTGCGTGCATGGTTAATTATGGTGATTGATTTTGCTGATTGGTCGACAGCTGCGTCAATACATGCTCCAGATCACATAACATAAGGTTATGTGCCCAAGAACATGTTCAAAACCCATTTTCAGTTTGTAATTGCATGTCTGGTTCAAGCCACTATTAAATTTGTATTAAGTGCGAGTGTGCTGGCCAGTAACTTGTAATGAAGAGAAGAGGGCCATAATAGGAAATTGTTAAATCATAAACAAAGAATGATTGAGATGGAACAACCTGTTTTACCTTAAAATTACTCTTATTTACCCAAAGCTCTAAAAGCTGTTAACACACATAGCCACCTTGTCAGTCTTATTCAAGAAGCCCTTTTCCTTTGGCAACACAATGTAAACAAAACATGATGAAAGCAAAGATTACAGAAGGGAAGAGAATTGTATTTTGTCAGTTTGAGCTTGTCTAAGATAAAGTAGTAGTAAAGGCTACATTAAATATTTAAGTGTTGTACACCCTGTCTCTAGAGGGCACTAAAGATGAGAGGTAAACACAATACTTGTCATAAATTGCCAACAAAAAGTAGCTAGTCAATCTTGAGACCAAAACAGAGGTAAATATTTGATGTATTTTACATTCCATTCGTTTCAGCAAGTTATCTGACTAGCTTCTTCTGCAGTCTTAAATTAAATTTCATTAGATTGGGATGATTAATTCATTTTTCACACCTCCGTGATGATAATTAGGCCTATAAAACCTTGCATTGAGGGAAAAAGTGCTAGCATAGCATGTGTTTGGAGGTAGTTATTTTTATGCTACAGTTAGTGAGTAATGCCCCTCTTGAAAACATGATGAATTACCTTGTTTTGTTTCACTGCATATTCAGATGTTATTTTTGTAAGTAGTCGATCAGTGGTTCTCAAACAGTTGTACTTCTTAGGGTGGTACGTAGATTTCTCTGCATTTCTGATATTTAAATATTTAGTTATAGTCAATTTAATCCATATTTATCCTTATTCATTGGGTTCGTATCACATCTGTGAAGTTTAGACCTAGAATTGTCCTGTTTTAGACTTGGTTTAGATCTGTTGCAAGTTAAGAGGCCAATATTTTCTTTATATTTTCTTTAATATATTTTTGCATTCTTTGAAAACACGACCCACTGCCTCCAATTCTTTTCTAGGTTTCTGGGTCTTGTTCCTCATCCAGGCTGATTGAACCTACTTTTAGAGTGGTTTTATGAGCTCCTCTTGCAGCCATGCAGAATATCATGCCTTTTCTTTCACACATGGACTGGGCTCATTCTGCAGTCTCTAAATGTTCAGTCACTCTTTGGAGACTTCATACTCGCGTACACTCAAAGCGGAGGAGAGATAAGTGCTACATAGGTAAGCAGTGAACAGAGGAGAATGACATTAAGCCACTACGGATAGGAGTAAGTGAAGGCAGGGATGGAGGATGAAAGAAGGAAGGAGACAGTTTAAAGCCTGGGATAAGGCACAGAGCTGGAGCGTGTGAGCAGCTGAGGAGATAAAAAAGGCACAGTGGATTTGGGTTAAGCACCATCTCAGTCTTCAGGGTTGATGTGGAAGCAATGAAACGCACTACGCCACATCAAAAGGGAGCTGCATGGATCCAAAACCATAACACACACACTCACACATGCGTTTACAGTAGTTATCCAGTGGTGACAACTTAGGAACAAGCCAGTGTCACCCATAGAAACTCGATGCTCTGGGCTAATCCAAAGTGAAGAAGCGGAAAACAAGGAATTATAGGTTAAAGGATCGAAAGTGTGGATGAGAAAGAAATGGAGTGACAAGAGATTATGGAAGAAAGAGGGGAAAAGTAAGGTCATACAGTGCTGAAGAAAGTCAGAACAGTCTGCCAAATCTGTCTGTTTTTGAAAGAAATTCTTAAATTCTTGCTGCTTTATCGATATACACAGCCCTACATGTCTGAGCTTGACTTTCTCTGAGGTATTTTTGTACAACTACTGTAGTATTTAGACAAGATGTAACACAGTATATCATCCCAGAAAGGACATGTGTGCAGTTGTAGGAGTTAAATCAGTCTGCCTTTTTAAATACATATATAGTTTACTAGTACTTGTCTGTATAAATTTATGTTTTTTGAACCTTTGATCTTTCAGTACAGTTTTGGTCAGATAAATGGTCCGTTCATGGAGATTCTAAATATATCTCAGCTCTTGTGGTGCCAGACCTTGCCCTCTTTTAGTCAATTAATCAATACACAGGGCATCTCTTTTATCAACCAAAATATTCTCTGACTACAGTGCTCTGCATCTAACCCCTATTAGGGCAAACTATTACGAGTAGTGGGCGACTGCAGTGCATCACTAGAGAACACTTCTCCAGATCTTGTTTAGAAGTACCTATAGCTTGAGAATTACCTTATCATGCATGATTTAGGCTAATGGGGGAAACCGGAGTAGAAAATCCATACAGACAGGAGAACATGCAAACTCCACAGTCCTATCTGCAGAATCTATTGTACAAGATTTTGGAATACCAGAATACAGTGCAATAAAACCCAAAGGCAATAAAGACAAATAGAAACAGTGAGGTGAAACAAAGGATTATAAAGCAAGCATTTACTGTAAGTGTCCAGCAGCAGCTTTATTCTCAAACGTGTCTTTTCTGCTCTGTTGTTCTAATCCATACATTTCCAGTTTGTAATGTGCTGACATCTTCAACTCTGCTGATTCTGGCAGAGGAGGAGATTACTCGCCTCGTACCCCAGATCAGCACTCATTTAGGTTGCACACGACACTGACATGGCTCTGAACAGATTGATGGGTTTGCAATATTTTCATTAAGATTCACTGACTATCCACAGTATTTACCCCGGTTGCTGTTGCTAAGCACTAGTCACCGAGGCTGAGCCAAAAAGCTTGGGTTTAGCCCCTGGCAAGAAGCTACAGACAGGAGCTGATGGGGGTTTGTCGACTTCATAAGTCTTATAAAGGAATGACGGTTTATACTGGTTTGGAGAAGGCCTGCCAGATTAATAATATTCTAATAAAAATTGCAATTTGAATGGTCAAAATTGGCTATTTAAAAATTTGCAGTTATTCAACTAACAAATGAAGAGCTAAATATCTCATTGTATTGTGTTATAGTGGTACAGGTTGTATTTTAGTTATCTACAAATGTTAATGCTCCTCCTGGTTGGGTTGTCAAATGTATTGAAAATTAGGTGCTTATTGAAAACTAGTATTAAATTAGATACTCATTCAAGCAAGTATAAATACTGAAAAGAAATCACATTTATCTTTATGAATAGTTTTAGAAGGGTCTTGATTAAAACTAGTATAACGTTCATTAATTAAACTATTACCATTCTTGTATCAAAATAATTATTGAGTATCAATTCCCTAGTAGTAGTATTGAAACTGAGTTTGGGATTTTAGAAAAGTTCCTAGATTTGGTTAAAATGTGCACCGTGTACTGAATCATGATTTTAAAACTTCAATTTCAAATCCAAACACAATTGCAATTCATGAAAACACAATACTTTCCCGGGAGTACGCACAACTGCACACGATCCATTATTTATCATGGACAACTTGCAGCTTGCTTAGAGTGATTTGTATTGTCCTTGACTATAATGATCTGAATATTTTTAGACTACAATAGAAAGAGGAAAATTGCTTTATAATGTGACACTGTGGATTACCTTTTTTCAGCAGACCTTATGTGAAAGATGAGCTATTAGAGACATCAAAGCCTTCTGATGGGTATTGTCTAGTCGTTATCTATTAATCGTTGTAGCTGTCTAATACTGAATAGACTCCCACTTGTTGACTTTGACATCAGTGAGAGAGGGGGTCACACTGCTGTTAATTTTAAATGATAAATCAGAGTGGTGTGTGTGGCAGAGTGACTTCATTGACATGCAAAGCAAAGATCACTGTATTCAAGGCAATTTTCAGCCTGTTATTGGTATCCTGTCTGCCAACTTCATTCACCTACTATCAAGCACACATTAAATGATATGAACGTAATAATCTACCCAGCTACTCAGCTAGCTTAAATTATTCATAGATTCTTATTGTGTGGTGTAATTATTCTTAGTCGTCCTATGCATTCTGAGTATTTGAAAAAGGTTTAAATGTAAAAAGTGGTGAGCTGCAATGTCAAAGGGCATTATCAAACATTTAAAAAATGTTTGACAATTTAAGACTCAAGTGATTTTTTACCTAAGGCTTTTAATATGCTGTTGTTTTCACGCACCAGTGAGATCATACCATGACTAAAGTCAGGGGGAAATTGGTGACAAGTTGTATCAAAATGATTTACCATATTTTATTTGAGTTGAATATTCAAGACTAGCTTTTTCCATCACAGATGTAGATACTAGATTGTAGTGTAGATGTAGATACTAGATTGTGTGTTTCTTTTCGGTCCTTTGGATTTGGCTCTCCTCGTTTTTACAATGCTTGTTTACTTGAGTGCAGCTGTTCTTTTCTGTGCAGTTTGGTGCAGTCTGATTTTGACCTTCTTTTTACCATCTCCCCATTTTAAAAGATGTTTCTCTATGTGTATTTGTTGGAGCTAGCGCACATACACTATAGCAATAGCTCCTGTCACCATTTTTAACCACAACAGTCCAGCTTTATTGCAGACCTCAGCCTGCAGGACTATTGTGGACCATTCGTTTTTCTGAGATATTGTTTAGATAGAATACACATCACTTCTATGATGCCTTAAACCCTCACATTCAAAGTGAAGCTGAAATAACCTCAGAGTGAGGTCATGTCCCTGCTGTGCTGCATTCTGCTCACCTTGACCAAAAATTTGACAAATTAATTTCTTTATTTTCTAAATTCTGCATTATTTTTTTCTTTTTGCCATTTTCATTTCAGGGTCACAGGTAATTGCCTGTCTCCTAATTTGTATAAATGGACTTGACTAAAGTATCCAAAAGTTTCATATTTGTAATTTTTTTTGACATTACACTGCCCTCTTTATTTATATCTTGTTGGAACTGCCACAAAGAATACTTTATTGAAGTTATGACACTGGTAATGAATTATTTCCTCCCTATTACCCTGATTAATTACCTTTCGTAAAAAGTTATTCATTTGATGGTCACCACCTTATCGGATAAATTTATCTGTGCTGAGGACTGACAAAATAGGCTCCAACTAAGCTTAATCTTTCTGACTACTTATGCTATTCACAGACTGAGAAACCCAGAGCTAGTACATGGTAAATCTAATTTATTTTAATCTATCTACATCTTACCTAACCATTAACATTTCATAATGTAATATTCACATTCCAAGACATACTATTTCATCTTAACTGGAGAAAATTCAGTTTTATTTATTTTTAATTATTTAAGTAAAGTAAGAGTAGGATCTTTAAATATGTTTTATAGTTGTAGAGGCTTTTCCTGACTTTTCAAATAACCATCTGTTCTTTGTGCTTTATAACTTTCTTTCTGTTTTTGTATTGTTAAAATAAAATATAATTTTTCTCTTTTTCAGCTCCAGCCCCAAGGCGGCTAAAGTTCAAAGTTCTCAGCCCAAACAAACTACTTGTCACATGGAAGGAGCCTAAAGGAGACTTTGACAGCTACCTGTTCACCTACAGCACTTCAGGTAACATCATCCCACTGTAACACAGACAGTATACACACTCGCTCCCACACACCACGATCAGTATATTTTCAGAAACGACTAGAGGAGCCCATGGATTGTGTGAGACTGTCAGAAATGGATTATGTAATTTTCTTCTTATCAAAGTGCCATGAAGGGATTACACAGCAAGAGATGGAGACTCTACATTTGCTCAGCCTTTCAGCCAAGTTTTGAGACAAGGCGCTGTTATTTCTGCTCACACAGACCCTGTCAGCACTTTACAATGACAGTCTGATAGCACCTGCTGCAGCCTGATGAGGTTCAGACAGGGACAGCTTTATGTCCCCTGCAGTTTCATTTAAAGACTCTTACATAATGGCTTAATCATTTCATTGTTCCAGTGTGCATTGCACCATGATAACCATTCTCCTAGTTTAGGCACGAAAACGTTTGAATTAAAAACTTCCACCTATTGTACTCTGCAAACCACCTCCATGGAGATGCTGGCTCTAACAAATCTGTAACAAAATAGCTCCAAAGACTAATTATGAAAAATATATTTAAAAAAATAAAAGTACAAATGATTACTTATTTGCTTCCTCAGGTATACTTGAAAACTAAACAAATTCTAGGACACAGCGTGCTGGTACATCGTTAGACAGGGTGATTTAATAAAAAAATAATAATAATGGTTTAACCTTACAGATACACCACATAACTTTTCTGATGAAGGATCTACCACCTGCTTGTCTTTCTGGAGAGATGTTAATGATTTGCCTGCTATGTTTCTGAGCATGATATTATTAGTTATTCATCTCCTTGGAGACAAGCAAATGACACTACCAGGCCCAGTTACTGATCAGATCTGTGGCTGAACAACTCCACTAGTATACTTTCATGTTGTTGAACATTACAGGCAAAGCAATAATGACGGACCCCACACCATAAAAGTTACATAGTGCATTTTAGAATTCACTGACTAGAGGATATAGGTTTACAATGCAAATTTCATCTGTTTTGTGTTAGAGACAAAGATGTGCCAAACTGCAGCAGTGCCACTTTTATTTGAGGTAATGATTTATAATGATAAATAGAAGAAAACGACTTGGAGCTCCTAGGCACTGCTGATGCACTGTATAAACTAACTCATAAACAAATAACAATAGATTGGCAAAGTTTATTTTGTGTGTATAATGTAATTTGAAGTGATTTCTCAAAGTACTGCAGAATGGCTGCCTGATGTGCTTTACTACAGAAAGTTAGATTAGAGACACAGTAACCCTAAATCAGGATAATCCCAGTTAAACCTTTTTCTAAATTAACCATATTGTCAAAAAAAACATGAGCTGCAAAAATATAATCGCAAAATGCAACACTTTAGTAGTAATGAGTCATAGTATATCAATTCAACCCTCAAATCTTATCACAGTACAGAAAAACAACTTAAAAAGTCTCTAAATCACTATAGTAGTCACTATAGTAGCACCTTAATATTTTGTCTGCTTAATCTTTCTATTTTGCTTATTTCACAGTGTCAGTATGTTGTCTGTATAATAATGTAATAATGTAATGATGTCTTTTGTTTGTTAATGTGGTTGTTTTAAATATTTCATGGTGCAATTTGAGCTTTTTGCACATGTTTTTACAATGTGGTGCCACAATGACAAAAACAATATTGTTACATCTGTCATTTATAAACAATAAGGTGATGTAGCAATTATTTGTGACTGGCAACACTTGACTTGGTCCTAGATTTTAGTGTGAGAACGCCTATGCATCACTTGCCTCATCTGACCTGCCATACCCTTGAGCGGGATAAATCTGACCACTGCTGGTGTCATTACTCATCGTGGGACAGGAGGCTGAGGAGGCGCACACTCGCACCTTATTGAGGGCCAGACTGATGCAGGGTCACGATTAAAACGCGCTGATAATGTGACCCGTGGACCTGTTGGGATTAACTGCTGTGGAGAGGGCACCACCGCATGCTGCCTCTGTGTTTGTGTGAAGCTACAGTTTATTTTAGGTCAAACTCCAGTGTAACTGTCAAAGTCACTTTCATCTGACCTGCAGCCAGTGATTTATGAGCTAAACTGACTGCAAATAAGTTGTACCTAGTGGTAAACAGCATACAAATGTGAAGCTTTAAAACCGGCATTATTGTATTGTTTTTGGTAGGGGTTTGTAGTAGTAAGAAGGGACTTTGTTTAACTAACCTAAAGTCTAAACCAAACCTATTACAAGGCTTAATTAGACTAGATCAGGACTTGAGATTGACCATTTCAAAGGTCCTTCTCTGACTAATACTTCTTTTACATCACACAATTGCCTATGACTATGGCATGTTTTTCACGTATGGTTCAAAATATTAATGGGTGTTGTTATAATATGCAACTAACATGCAAATGATGTGTACATGGAATAATGCTTTATGGAAAATTATTAAGATTAGCTTGGGGTAGGATTAAATTAAGTCTTCCTAATCCTTTTTGAACATACTGACACGCCTTTGTATTTTTCTTTCACTATATCCTGCATTGTTATTTATTATGTGTTCTGTCAAGTTTGTAATAAAAGTGATCAATCAAACTGTATTTTTCTCATTGAGCACAATGGGGAACAAGAAACTTTACTGCTAATGGTGTCAGTTGAAAACCTGAATAAATATGTGTCTATGATCATGAAGGAAATTTGGCTGGATGTAAACACATCTGTACACAAACCAAAGCTTACTTGAGGTGAAAGGAAAATTATACCTTTCAAAAACACACAAATATATGTATGTTTTTTCATCATGCAGAATGAATAATACAACTAACATTTTCTTCTTTGTCTGTGCCATAGACGGTCATCAAAAGGAGATTGCTGTACCTAAGACGCAGCACCGGGTCATAATAACAGACTACAGCCCGTCCAGCCATTACACTGTGAGCGTGACTGCGGTCAGTGGCAGCCTCCACAGCAGATCGCTACAGGCCACATATAAAGGTCGGACACCAATCTTAAATGTTATCTTTAAATTACAATTTTCTATAATCTTCAGTTTCAATTTTCTCCTGCTCCCTCAAATGATTTTTTTTTGCCTAATAAGCAGTTCTCCTCTACTATATAATTTGCTCAGCTCCAATTTCCTTTATGTAACCCAGTTGTTTTTCTCATTTCATTTTTCATCTACATTATGAACGGGATTATATTTAGTAATGATTTAGTTCTATTAAAAAGATTGTAATTTGTATTATTTATTATTATTTCTTATGCAGGGGAGAGGGACGATGGCAGGGACCAGAGTGAACCCCAAAGGCTAACAGAAGGAGTGGTGCTTCCTGATGAAGCCAATGAGATTTCTGGAGGTAAGACCACTTCTGTTTCTGCAAATTTTCCTGATTTCCAAACAGATTAATAAATTAAGTGTGTTTTTAGAAAGTCTTCAAGTCTGTTGTCATAGTGATGCTTAAAATTAGTATTTGTAGCACTATATTAATAAAACACATATCCCACTATTATCTTGTCCTAGTGGAAATATGGTTCCTCATTTTAGACTTTAGTTAAGATTGTCCATAAATCCAGAACATCATGCTAATTACAATAGAAACCATCCCGAACATTGGCATAGGTTGTCCAGTTGACCGAATAAAATTTTTCTTCTGCTATGGCTCCTACCTGGACGACTGAGAGATTACACAAACATTGGCATAGGTTGTACAAATGAAACAATGCTATGGTTATGGCTGTGCTATTAGTCAAATTTTAATCGGACTGAGAGCCGATCATTTCATATCAGTGATCAGCTTGGAACTTTTTAATCCAGAGGTCTACAGCCAGTCCTCTGTCAGTAAGAGTTCTATTTTTTGTTAAATTGCAATGATTAAATGTCTATGTTATGTTTGTTATGGCTGGTTTTAATTGAGGGATCAGTTAATCAATACTTTTTGTCATAATGCCCAGGCCTATACTATACATGTACGCTATCTGCAAAGTTAGTGAAGACATTTCCATCTTAATTGTCGATACTTGGCAGAGCTCCTTCTGTGTGTAGGTACTGGAGACTCTCTCAGAGGTGACCTTGATTGTGCCAGCTTCAGAGATTATAATCATTTCCTATACTGCATTTCAGCCAAATAGACTCAAATTTGTTGGAAATAGTCTTTGTGTTTTCACTAACCATGATGAAATTTGTGCCTTATTAAAATGTGTGTGCTGAATACGTATTACAGTTTCTTGTTTGAAAGTGTTATCCTTGGAGTAAAGAGCACAGCTGTAAAAGACAAATCTTATTACATACACTGCCTTTAGGAAAAACGACTTCCTAATTTGTTACTTACAGATTGTTTAACTGTGTGTTGTGGACATAAGCAGGGGTTGTGAGTCGAAACAGACCATCCATCCAAGAGTTTGAAAGGAGCTTAATTGTCTGTCTGGTGTTACGCTGTCATTAGCTGGGACTGGCTGTATGCAAACAGAGAAGTCAAATTACCCTAAAACCTACATCTGAAAATCCAATCGATGGTTTTAAAAGAGAATCTGTTGAAGTCTTCATTTTGAGATGTCTTTGTTATTATCTGTGTAATCATCTTTCTGACTCAAGGAAAGAGATAATGGGATTAGTTATTTCATATTACAATTTGGGTGTGAAAAAGCAGTAACATTTTCAGATGAGTCTATCTCTTTGTAAATTAATTTGATTTTAACTAGAAGAGAACTTTGCTGACTGGGACATTTCAGAACTTAACCTTTTCTTCTTTGTTTGCTCCTGTAGTCCAGATTTTATTACATTTATTTTCAGATGTGGTTTCAAATGAAAGACTGTTATATGCCAGTGTCGAGGCTTGAAGATGGAGATGCAAAATGAGAAAATCAGTAGGTTTCGTATAATACAAATAATTGTAAGAGCTCCCAAATAAACCTATATGTAGTTTTGCATTTTGTTTTTACATTTTACATTTTTTGCACCATACTTGAACAGTCTATTTAGTTTTGGCACCATACTTGAACAATCCATGGCAACCATACATGGTTTGCCAAAATATCATCTGAATATTCTTATGGAGATTAGGCAAAAACGAGAGATTTATGTCAATGTCACCCACTCATAGTTTTAAGAAGGTAAATAAGTCAACTGTTTGTCTTCAAAATTAATTAATCCCAAGTATACCCAAAAATCACAACAGCAGGCATCTTGCAGGGCTTGTCAAAGAAGGACAATTCCTGGGGGCTTTTTCTTCAAGAGCGGTTGTATATGTACTTTGGAAATTAAGCTTAAATAATATTTCCTCACAGATAATGGTGATATTTAGACAGCTGGGTGATACCGTGCTGGAGGTCGTCTGAATGTGTTTGTGTGGTCTCGAGGTGTGTCCTGGTCTATATTTGTTTCAAATGTGGGTCAGTCGCCTGCAGTAGTGAAACAGATGGCTGTCCCTCTGTAGCCTGGGTCATTAAGATCCAGCCGATACAGAAATCAGCAGTGGATTCTTCTAATAAAAGCCCCAGTCTTCTTTGATGTGGAGGAGGAGTGAAGGGCAAATGATCTGAGAACGGAGATTTTTGATCAGGTTTCCAAAAGATCTCTTATGTTTTTTTTTTCCTTTAAACAGCTTTTTAACATGAATGTTTTGAATGAAATCTCATTGGTCAAACAAGACAAATCATTTTTTTTGTTTTTAATGCAAAGACATGTATTGTTTTGCACATAATTTTAAAGGGTCAACAAGAGTGCCACCTTACATTTAGATGAAAAACTCTTGGCCTTTCTTCTTAAATGAACAAATCAGCTACTGTTCTGTACTTCTTGTTGTCAAACTAAGTAAATGAGCAGTTGTATTTTGTGGATAAAGTAATGAGTATGCAGCACATGAGCCAAAAAGAAAGGGTATTATATAGGTATTAGCCAATCTGATATGAGCAGTCCCCTTTTAAGTTGTATAATTTTAATCACATTCTTCTCATGCTAAAATTACTAGTTACCGGAGCTTCTAAAAAAGAAAAAAAGATTTTGGTGTTTTACAGTAGTTTAAAATGAATGGATAGCAGAGATTTAGTTTAAAGAACCTTAAACCCCATCATTACCTTCTGTACCTTTGTTTAAACAAGCTTTGTAGGTTAAACACACATTTTCTATACTTCTATCTTCTATCTTTTTTCTATGTGCGTCAGTGCCAAGAACCCACTATCTTAATGCGTGTTAGCTCATCAGCCATGAGAAGAGTGTTGGCAGTTTCAGATTCAGCCCTCTGTTCTCGTGACCCCTGGGACCGAGCTGTGAAAGTTGAGTTTGAGGCCAATGAGATTCTGTTGACTTTGAGCGCAGATATCCATCACCTGTGGAGAGGCTCTCAGACGCACCTGCAGAGGCGCTCTTCTCTATTTATGGCCAGCCCCCAACGCCATCCCAATCATTTATCGGAGCACGGCTGGGGCTGGGGTGGAATTTCAACGCATTATGTGTTTGTATGGGTCCATTTGTTATCGTGGTGATCCCTGTTTATCAAAAGTGTTCAGTGACAGGTACAACATAGTGTGCAATGTAAGAAGGGCAACAGTTTATTGTATTACCCAGTTTAATATCTACAGGGGAATATCAAAACAGTGACTCTGAAGACAGTTGTAAAACTATTGGGCAGACTTTTGAGTGTATTGAATAAGAAAACTGTTATAGCTGCAAAAAATCTGATAAAAGGGTAAACTAAAAGAGAGCGTAATCTTTGAAAAAAGAGTAACTGATATTTTAGCATTTTGTGATACTGTTCGAATTTGTGTGCTTGATGCTTGAAGCTCGACCAAGGCTTTCACAGGTATAATTTAGCACATTTATAATCAATTGGAAAAATATAATCTTGTTGTTACACTTTTTTGAGATATTTTTTGTCAGTGTTGCCTCTAGTTGTCCAAGAATTACCTTTTGTTTTCAAGATTTTTGTATTGATCATTTGGTGTAATATACAGTCACTGTTATATGCTTCTGGGGATTGTTGAAAAAATTATACCTACTAATCTAAATTTAAACTAGTGTCTAAATTAGATTAAAAAAAATTTACTTGAAGTATCGCTACTTTTTCTAACTAGTTTTAATTGTCTTGACCAATATTATAACTATATCAACTCTATTAACTAATTATTTTGTTATGAATAGAACTGTCATGTCACAAATTTTGAAGCGATACATATTTTGAACTAAATACGATAAACAATAATATTGAAACCGAACCATAAAGCACAATTATCCCCCAAAAAGTGTTCTAAGTGTACAATATTGTCAAAAAAAAAAAAGAAGAAAAACAGAATGCAACACTTAAGTAGTAAGTGTATATGTAAAATGAGTCATAGAAGTTATTTATTCAACACTCAGCTCACATCTTATCATACAGAAAAATAATCAAAATTTTTTTTACACTAGTACAAAAAAAGTACCTCTATCATGTATTGAACAATAAATCAATATAGAAATTATCCTGACAGAGCTATTGGTGAATATTTCATTCTATTGTCTAGAAATAGTATCGAGCATTTTCCTTAACATCGATATCGAGTTTGAAATGTAAGAATTAGGGGATTCAAATTATCGCGTTAATTGCGATTAATTAATTACAGTCATATTTAGCGCGTTATGTTTTTTAATCGCCTTAATCTCATTTTTAATCTCTAACTTTACTGTTTCTGAATGCGAGTTGCTTTATTATAAAACCAGTTTTTTTATGTGTTGTTGGGACAACAACACACACACACACACACACAAAACACATTTATACACTTTTTTATTTCGGTAATTCCACTCATTGCCGGAAACCCATACAAAACGCGCGCAATAAGAGGGATGTAAACGTCATGTTAACGTTGGCGGCGTCAGTCGCACAATGGACGAGGTCGAAGAGCCAGTAGAAGAGAGTCAGCAGTGCACAGGTAAAAACCCATTCGTGTCTTGGAAATTATTCTCCCGACGTGAAATATAAAAGAAAATAACAAATATAATATCGCCTACAACTTAAATTTCACTGGTGAAAACAACCTGCATAGGCTCATGATGTCTGCACTACTGTCCTATAGTGACCTGCCACATGAGGGGACACGCACACAAACACAAACACACACAAACAAACACACACCTTCATCATCGTCATTAACCTGAGAACGCGCGGACCACGTTTCCTTCCGTAGTTACTGCGCGGACACCGACGTGCTCCCGTGAGCCGCGTGTGGATCGTGTTTTCTCGCTTACGCTGCGTAAACCGCGCTTCCTCCTGTGCGCCTCTAAACCAGAACTAACACCAAGACTAAAACCAGGACTAATCCAGTCCAGGACTAAACCAGGACTAAACCAGGACTAGAACCAGAACTAAAACCAGGTCTAAACCAG